TTTTCATCTCCTACTTTACTACTTGCAGACAGTACTATAAGAATCAATAGCCTAGAAACTCCCAGAAAGTTGGATCATCTTGATTACTGATAATGAAGTTTAACTTTAGCACACTTCAGCGGCCAGAAAATATTCCTAAATTTAATAGTTGCTTGAGCTCCAGAAACAGAAGTGCCAACAAATGCATTTTCTATTGGACAGTGATTTTTAACTGTTTATGCACGAATCTTGACTTCCATACATGCCAGACTTTAAGCAATGTGAACAGACTGACTGAAATCAAAGAGATTAATCACAGTGTATAAAGTCTGATACAATTATGGACTATACTATTAAGTATCAAGGAAAATAGCAGACATTGTATTGAAAGCACACCTCCTTTATCTTGTTTTAGAAAAAGTGTTACATGAAACTATCAGGGCCCCAAAGATAAGATCTAAACAAAAATGAGAAGAAAATTAAACATATATTTCAAAATTGCAAGTTTGATTATTGTTAATTTTAAAAGTTGTAATTTTCTAGGAGGGTATTTCTTTAAAACTGAAAGACATTCCACAGTACTTGCACAGCTGATGCTGTTCAATTGTGGATGCATGTTACTGGGGGAGGTTGCAAAGGCAGAATGGCTAGTTTCAATTAAGGGATCACACGTACCTGTTACTGTTTTTGTTTTGACAGGACTGCTGGCATATTCAGAGGCTTGATTTGACTGCTGTCTTGCCAAAGGTGCACTTCCAACTGATGCTTCATCCTCTTTTTTTCGACTTACTGACACACCAAGTGGAACAGTTCCTACAGACTGCTAGAAAAAGAAGTGCCTTGTGAACCACTCAAACCCAAAACACATTAGTATTGAATTATGACATTGTCACAAGAAGCATGTCTTAAACTACATATTTTGAAATGTATAGAAGACAACTTGAAACAACGATTAGAGCACATATATTTTGAAAACAAATTGTGAAACGCCACATTCAGACTTGCACTTGTAATTTTTTGTTAGTCCTGTTAGTCTGAATAAAAGCTCTATGATAACAAAAAAATGAAATATAATTTATTAACTTAAAATACCAGGCTTGTTAGCCAATCAAAATGCATATGAATAAACCTGGATGATCACCAAAGCAAAATAATTATGTAAACGTTAAATGGAAACTGGAAAATTTTAGCCAAACATGAAGATCCCAAAATTTTGCAAAGAAATTTATCAACCTTCCTTAAACTTCAAAAGAGAAGATGCATTGTTATTTATACATTATTATATTTGTTCCTCAAATTTTAAATATAGAATTTAATTCTGATCACTACTGATTTTAAATTGTTTTGTCTTTCAAGCACATCAGTAAATGACAAACTGCTCAAAATATGACACTGTTAAAAAAAACTGAAGGCATTAAAATCTAGTTTGAAGGACTACATGCTTATTTAAAGATTAGAAAAGTGTGACATGTATTTATCCATATGGGTTCTGAACTGGAGGTCCACATATGAATACGGTCTATTGGCTTTGTTGTTACTTTTTTCCATTAACACAAGCTAGAAAAGACAAAATCATTTAAAAATTGGATCCTCAACTTTGCTGTACAGTTGGCTGTTAGCATCTAATGCTACAGCAAAATGTTATGTAAATCGTAGATGTATCCCAGTTGACAAAAGCAGGATATTTCTACCGTTGATTTTGCAGAGGGTTATCATTTAAAGATGACAGAAGTTTTTTTCTAAAGATCAGACATTAGGATTACTTGCATCTTAATCATTTTTTGTGTAATTTAATTTTGTTGGTATTGGAGCGAAAATGTAATCCATATAGCCGGGTAATGAGAAACCTCACACGTTGCATTAGGAATCTCTGTGGGAAACAAATTCGTGTGAGGCGGGCAACGTGCTTGTAAATTTTCTCCAATAGAAAACAGATCACTGAATCAAGCAGCGTGCAACACGTGCACACATACAAAACCCCAAAACAAACAGAAAATCATCTAATTGAAGGAGAATGACTTCCAAACGCCTTCGCTATTTTCCACTATAAAAGTAAATTAAAATAAGAAAGACAATCAACTATTTAATCCTACTCCAGTGAAAACAATCAACTTGTATATACAGTGGTATGCAAAGTTAATAGGAAAATACTAATGTCAATGACAAACAGAACTCTCATCTCTCCTCCTCCCTCTCAACGCACAGACATCAGCTTTGTCTCCAAAAGCCCTAAAAAGTCATTCTGCAATACAGTAACATGCCACTTTGGTGTCCTCTAGCCATAACAACAACAACAAAAAACCCATCAGCTTTGAAAAGACAAGTTTTACACCACAGAAATACTATCCACATGCATACAGAGAGTCCGAAGTTTTGTAAACTTTGGTCAGACACTTTATATCACTTATTTTCAAAATTTAGCAGTTCATCTGATACAACTCTTCATAAGGCAAAGCCATCTGCAGCTTTCCCATGACACCAACTGTTGAGCCATGATTGGGCAATTCTGGATGTAACATTGCAAGAACATTGACTTGCCAAAGTGAAGCAACAGTTTCTGAAGAATGAACACAGACAATACAAAACAGTAAAAAAGACAATAGGATGGGAAATACTGTCTGAAGAAGCAGTATCTTTTTCTGAACCACTGAAGAAATGGATCAGCAAAATATAATAATAATAAGTTACACCACTAGTCATATAGTGAAAAACATCAAGGCTATCACAGCCAGACAAAGCTGGAAAAAATTATGACCAAATATTGAGTGCCTGAGTGCTGATCTGGACAATGAAACAGCTGTTTCATCTTTGCTCACTGAAATCAAGCCTGATGTTGCTGTTGATGACGCCCAGTACAATCTTGTCAGGTTTTTGGCAAAAGATTTCTGGTTAAAAGAATGCAGAAGATGAAAGATCAATGTTGAACTGGATGGAAAAGGATCATCAAGATTTGGGTTTTAGCCACAAACTGATGAGGAAATTGTGGCTTGGGAAATAGCAGATGACAAGAGCCCCACAGCTGTACGAGAAGATGAATCTGATGGGAAAGGAGACATTGCAGGCAAGTGTTATCATAAGTATTTCATCACAAGAATCCAAAAAGCTCGCTATAAAGTAATACGTAGTAAAGTTTAACACACCTACTTGGCAGGTAAACTTTATAGTTACTAATTGGTAGTGTTATAAAGAAGATAGATAAAGAACACTTAATAAAGTTCTGGAACTACAGCAATATTAATATGGAGTTGGTTTGTTGACACAAAGTCAAAATCGGATTCTGTTCTAGAACACTGACCGCAGTTGTCTCAATGCAATAATGTTTTGTACCTATTAAACAGTGAATACTAGTTTAATAATGATTCATGGTACTCAAAATAAGAAAATTTACTATTTTTCCAGTATAATTATTAAAATTAACTTTTAAAGTCATGGCTAAAAAACTACAGGAAAGCTATCCTTTTCCAAATTTAAATTTTATTGACACAAATAATCTAACACATTACACACCATGCTAAGCATGTGTACACAAAACACTCATATACATATATGCTAATTATGCATGTAAATGGACCAACAGATACAGATTATATTTTTTATTTTACTTCACACTGTGCAGTCGACATGACTTTGGAAATGATAAAGATCTAAAATCAGAGAAAGGCACAGAACAATAATAGCTAAAAACCAACCTGCCAAAAATACCAAGCCCCAAGTATTTCCTGATTTATGTGGAGATATGCCAACTAACTGAAGCTAAAATATCCTGTAAAGAGGGCTAGTGGAAATTTGCCCCAGGTAGAATAAATTTGTATTTTATTTTACTTGGGATTTTTGGTTATTAAATATTTTATTTCTGAATTATAACTTCCCACGAGCGTGAGGCTGAAGAGAACGCAGGCAGAGCTGGGAACATAAGAAATGCATTCCAAAGAAAACTTGACCAACTGAGCAGACACTTAACTTTCATTTGAGGGATGCCTATACAGTCACCTCCCTGATAATAAACCAAAGGCAAAAGAATATTCCAAGATAGGAACTTCACTATTATTACTAAAAGAAAAAATGAAGCACTGGCTTGTGAAAAGTAGAATTCAGAAGCCTTAGCCCAGACATGGGTTGCCATCTTTGAAATGATACCAAACCCAGATATTCCATATGGTGGATGCTGCATGCACACAGACTGATGTGCACATGTGCAGTAGCTCGCAACCAGTAAGCAGGAAGAAAAAGTAATGGTCTCTGGAATGGGGACAGATGGCAGTCCTACTCAGGACATAGTGTTTTGTGAACACCTAAGATCACTGTCATGCAGTCACTATCTGCCTCAGAGAATAATATTTACCTATGCTGCAAGACTGTCCCAAGCTGCACCAGAACAAGCTCCAACAGCAAGGAGGATCTACCTTGCCCACCTCGCAACAAGTTCTAATACCATGAAATCACAATTGCTGTTTGACTAGGGAGTTACATTTCATTGTTTTGATTTCCAAAATCAGTAATACAAGCACACACCTAAATTGCTTCAGAGAGCTCAAACAAAACTAGGCATTAGGCCTAGTTCCCAATTAAACATAATTAATAAAATTACATTAATTAAAATTAAATTGATTCCTAATTAAAAAGATTAGGCATGCCTAACCCCCAGGATTCACAAAAGCACCTTCTTTCCTGGTAGATTAACTTGCTAATTCAAATGAAATTCTGTGACTGCTTTAGGTAGGAATTTCAGGTATGCTCAGAAAGGGCTCTGCTGGGATAAAAGACCAATCACAGATTAGCTGTAATCTTTCCAAACTTATGTGATGAACTGATGTCAGCCAAGAACGTACACATTTTCACCCACTGATGAAAGCATTCTATCAGCAGTTTCAAGGGGCCTGTGAAAGCAGAAAATATAAGGTTCAAGTCCCAATTTCTACGTCCTTCAGAATCTTAATTGCGTTCCTTGGGGTAAGAGGTGACAGATCCCAATAGGGATAAACACAGTGCTTTTGGCCTGCAAGCAGTATCAGAAATTGAAACCTATTATAATTTGAGAAATCTTTGCACACCAAGAAGATAATTATGTCTATCACAGAAACATGCTTGGATGTTCTCGCAGTACTGCTGGTTTTAGATCTACTGTTACTGAAATACTCATTAAACTAGGTACTAACACACATGCGTACAGAACAGCCAAAGAAAATGACAGAAATATGCAGCCACATATTATGCCATATTATATATCTACATATGCGTAGGTACACATTTCTGATAGTTTAGTCTTCACTAAAATTAGTCATTTTTATCATAGAAATGAGTAAAATAAGAAAAGTATTGACAAATGATGGAGGCTTTACAGTAATGTGCATTTGAGAAAAAAGATTACATGCACCCATTTATATATTCACTGCAAAGAGTATCACATTACCTGATTGTCTCATTTCAAAGTATAGCTAAGGCTTTTTTACCAAGGAAAACAAACTCTTCAAATATTTATTTGTGCAAAACTAAGTCCAGCCTCTTATAAGAGAGTAAATATATGAAAACCACTACTGGTTTACAAAAATAAAACAAGCCACATCTCAAAAAATCTCCAAAAAGTAGTCAAAATGAAATATTAAATTACTGGAAACAAGGCCTCTAAATGTATCTTTGTTTTGCTTTTAATAGAGCAAAACAAACAAGCAGTAAACAGCATACGTACAAGAATTCACTTTCTATAGTGGTATCCTTCCGAAATTCTGTTCATATTAACCTTTCATAAAGCATTAAAGACCGTATCTTTTCAACAGGGCTTTCAGACCAAAGAAACACAAGGGGTTTAAGCGTATATTATAGATA